AAAAAAATGCTATTTCCACTACTTCCTACTTTATAGATTTGAAAGTTACTTCTATAACCTACTTCTTACTTCTAATACTTCCATTATCCAAACGGGCCCTAAGTTTTACTCTCTTTTCCTACGAAGCCTTCCAACGTTATATTTTTGACAAAAAGCTCCTAAGTTTTGCCCCTCTCTTCTTAAAAGCCATAAACTTTTTTTTTTAACAATTGAACGCTTAAGTTTTATTCCTTTATTCGGAGAAGCCCCTAAGTGGGGTTATTGGTTGGGACAAATTGGGGCCAAGTGGAAAAATTATTCTAATAGAATAATTTTATCCCTTTGGGATATTTTGAGTGGGGTAAAGTAGGATAAAGTGGGATAATGAGACAATTTGAGCCTTCGATTTGATAATTCATGTGGGATAATTGATGATGTGGCACCTTATTAAAATATAATATAAGATCAATATATTTAATATAATATATTATTTTATTTATATAAAAATATAATATGTTATGCTATAATTACTAATTAATATTATTAATTATTATATTATATTACATTATAGTAGTATGCTACATTATATAATAATTGATATATATATGAAAAATATATTTAATATAATACATTAATAACATATTATTTAATTTAATATATTATAATATAGTATCGTAGGATATAATGTACTGTATAAAATATTATAATATTTTACTTTATTCAATGTGATATTTTTTTAATAATTATTATATTATATTATAATAGTATGTCATATATATAATAAGTATAATAATATTTTATATAATATATTATATAATATTATTAATATATGTTATTAATATATTAATATATTATATAATAATATATTATATAATATTATCAATGTAATATTAATATATGTTATTAAAATATTATATAATAATATATGTTATTTATACAAAAATATAATATGTTATACTATAATTACTAATTAATATTATATAATATAGTATGTGATATTCCATAATAATATATAATAAATATCATAAAATAAATTAAACTATAGTAATATTTTATTTTATTACATGATAATATAATATAATATATTGAATATATTATTACTTTATATTTTATATATTATGTCATATATTTATAATATAATTAGCATGTATTAGTTTAAGTAATACAAAAAGGTTTGAAATTTATCCCAATTGCCTTCAATGTGGAACAAAATTGTTCCAATATGGAGGGTGGGGTAAATTTTTACTATTGGGACAAAAGTTTTGTATATGAGTGAGGTAATTTTATCCCAAGTGGTAAAATTGTCTCTCTAGTGTTACAAAAAACCAATAACACAAAAAGTTATTATCCTTGTTACATTATCCCAATGAATAACACTATGAAATAGAATCCCCAAAATTATCCCATTATCCCCCCAAATGTCCCAATGAATAACCCCCCTAAGTTTTTTTGTTGACTTATAAATTTCATTGTCAAAAATAGAAAGTTAGTAGGTTATCCAAAAAAAAAAGGGTAAAGCTTAGAGACTTCTTAGACTACATTCTCATCAATGATGGAGTCTCTAGAATCAATCTTGTAACCGTCAGATTATGTCAAGACTCATTCCGAAGGGTTAATCAAAGACTACTCAACTGAGATTTAAACGTGTTTGGGAAGGCATATTTTTTAAAGCTTATTAGTTATACTAAATTTTAATTGCTTTTGACTTTTTTGATAAAAATACTATAAAAATTGTTTAAGTAGAAGAGTAATTTACTTGGTCAAACCTAGTTTTTAGGCGAGCTTTGAAGCTAGTTTTTTTAAAGCTAGGCTATACCAGCTTTTGAAAATATGACTTATAAGCTATCTTATTTGACATTTTACCAAATAGATAGAAATAAAAAAGTTAGCTTAAAAGGTAGTTTGACAAAAAAAAAAAAAAAAACTCCCCGAACACACTCTTAGGGGTTATTTGGTTACACACTTTTTAAGAAAACTTTTCTTAAAATATCTGACAATGGTAATTTTGTAATTAAAAGTTTTCTGTAAATTGTGTTTGGTTCAACAAAAAATTTATAGAAATATTTTCTATAAAATATCAAAAACTACCGTTCAACAAAAAATTTATAGAAATATTTTCTATAAAATATCAAAAACTACCAAATTTTACAAAAAGCAATTTCCTCTCAAAATATTATAGAAATATTTTCTATAAAATATCAAAAACTACCAAATTTTACAAAAAGCAATTTCCTCTCAAAATAAGAGGAAATCAACAGAAATCTGACACCTTCCTTATTTAATCAACAAAACCCGTCCCATACCCATTTTCTATAAAGTTATGGGCTATTTTCTTGTTTTGAACCAAACAAACAAAGTAAAAAAAAAGAAAATTTGTATTTTTTGACTTCTTAAAAATTTTCCTATAACTTTTTAAAGAAATACAAGGAAATCATATTTTGCTTCTCCCAACATTTGCACTCTACCGCAATTATAGGAAGATGGTATTAAATGGTTATTTGGTTAACTGCCAATCATATGTCTAATTCTAATTCTTAATTAAAATTTTCCTAAAATTATAATAAGTGAATGCGAAGAGGCAGATGGATAGAAATATTGCATAGTAGTTGCTCCCTTAGGTACCGTTTGGCAAAGGGTTAAGTGAGGGGTTAAGGAGACTTAACCCCTTCTTAACCTACCAAACACAACAAATCTATATAAGGGTTAAAGTGAGTTAACCCTTCATAATTTGCCAAACATAAAAAATATAGAAGGGTTAAGTTAACCCCTCTAGAGGGGTTAAAATGAGTTAACCCCTCAAAATGAGGGGTTTACTAATACTCCTATTTAGATGGAATAAGAGTTAACCCTTCTAATTATAAAGAAAATAGTCAAAATCATTGTTATTCCCAAACACTAAAACTGATCATAATGGCTAAAATAAAACTTATTTAACGGGTTAATAATTTAGTCATTCGGATTATCAAATGGGCTAAGTACATTAATCCTTCTCTTTAACCCCTCTTCATTAACCCTTTACCAAACGGGGCCTTAGGGTGTGTTTGGTAATCGAGGTGTTTGTTTTTGTTGTGTTTTTTAGAAAAACACCATGCCATGGTGTTTTTTTTTTCAAACATGTTTTGAAAATATAATTTATAGTTATTATTTATAAAGCAACAGCGGCGGCAGGTGACCGGCAGCCGGAGTATTTTAAAAACATGCCATGATTGTCCGAGGCTATACTATATAGCATCGAGAAACGTCATAGTATTTAATCATATATGTCACAATGAACAATGATCACCTGAAGAAACAACAGAAATTAAAATACTACTAGAAAAGTTTAAAGAAAAATGCCAATAGGAGGCACAACATTGGAAACAATATTAACCCATAATACCATTCTCCAAAGTTCTCGTCCTTTTTAAAAGTATAAAGCCAAGTTCTCATCCTTTTTATTTTGTTGAGATCAAAATCTCTTTACGTTTAAAAAAGAAGGGTTTTGTTAACAAGTGCCCCTAGTTAAGAATCATCAATTAGCGTCTCAACTAACTCCACTAGCCTTGATATAATTAGAAAATTTTATGGTTAAAATTGATGAGATAACTAATGCATTGAATAAATTATATATTGACAAAATTGTCCGAGCTCAAGTAACAAACTGAACTATATTCAATTTGAATTATACACAAAATAATATTTCCTCCTCCAATATCACAATAACTTAACAGATTCGTACTTTGGCGAGGATATCCTCGAATGCAACTAACATACACCAGATCATTTTTAAACGGTTGTGAGATTATTGGGTTCGAGTCCCACTTAAGCCCATCTTCTTTGACTAAGTTTTTATATCTGAGATCCTAAAGACTCCAAATAATAATAATCATAATAATAATAATAGTAATTTAAAAAAAAAACCCTTAGTTTGAGGGCATGAGTAAGCAAAAATTTGTTCTCAAGTGAAATTTAATTCTATATTTGTGCTAAATTTGTTCTCAAGTGAATTTTAATTCTATTATTTGTGCTTACTTCAATTATAAAATTTAATTTAAATATTTTAGTTTATAAATCTAAATATTATTATTTTAATTTTTTCTATAAAATAATATGATTCATTCTACTATTTGAGCTTGGACTTTTTGTCAATATATAATTTGTTCAATGCATTTATTATATCATCAATTTTAACTGTGAATTTTTCTAATAACAAGATTAATGGAGTTAGTTGAGGGACTAATTAATGATTTTTACCAAGTGCTCCTTTGGGGGCACTAGTTAACAAAACCCATAAGGGGGTGTTAGTCAATTGAGACATTTTCATGCAAAATGGGATAATTGTTAAAGTGGAATAATATTTCGCTAGTGGGATAACTAGGAACAATTTTGTGAAGCAGGATATTTTGATAAAATAACGTGGGATAAATTTTTATAATCATGAAGTATATATTTATGCATTTTGAAGATATAAATACTATTTATGTATTTTAAACTTACTATTATTAATTGATAATTGCTTACAAGAATGTTCGTTACTATTAAATAACTTTTGGTTAGACTATAAGATATTGACAATTATTATTATGATGATGGTCTAATGATGGTGATAACCATAATAGGAAATAAGTAAAGAAAAAAAATAAAAAATAACAAAATAAATACGAGTTCTAGTTTTTTACCACATAGTTCCAAGCTAAAACTTGGAATAATTTGAGAGACTAGAACTCTCATTTTTGTATAGAAAAATAAAAAAAGTAGGATAATTTTGTACAATTATCCCAATTCTAGTTTTGTTAAAGTTCTGCTTGACTAACACTGTAAAATTTTATTCTAGTTTTAGTTCTATGTGACTAACACCTTAAAATTTTGTTCTAGGTTTAGTTCTATGTGACTAACACCTTAAAATTTTATCCCACAGATTATCCCAGTTCTAATTTTAAGTTCTAGGTGACTAACCCCCCCTAAAAGTAAAGCAAATGCCTCTTAGCACTATTTGGGTGTCACTTCAGACATAGGACCCGACCCGACCCGACCCGTTAATGAACAACAATATATCGAAAATAATCAGCAAAAATAAGAAGAAGAAGGGGAAGAAAGAGGGAAAAAAGATCCTCTTCCAAAAAGCCGAGAGCCTTTGCTCGGTCGCTCGGTCGCTCGCCCGCTCAATCTCGAGGGAGCAATGTCGGATTTGGACCGGCAAATCGAGCAGCTGAAGCGATGCGAGCCCTTGAAGGAATCCGAGGCCAAAGCTCTGTGCCTCAAGGCCATGGAGATTCTAGTGGAGGAGAGCAACGTTCAGAGAGTCGACGCTCCCGTTACCGTAAGAACCCTCTCCCCAAAACCCTAAATTTGTCATTTTTATCATATTTTGATCAATGCCCATGTCTTGTTTTGCTCTATTTTATTTGTTTAAGTGTTGTTCGTCTCAAGTTTGTTTGTTTACTGTTAGGGTTTTAGTTTGGGGACGACTTTGTACTGTTTTGCTGTTTAAATTTACAGAGTCTTGGGGTAGAGTTGTGTAAGTTTTCTTAGTTTGTGGGCCCGGGTTGGCTATTGTGATCTCCTGTAGATGCTCCATTCATTGAGCAACTGGGGGAAAAAGGATAAGCTTTGCTAACTGGAGATTACTTACTGCTTAATGGGGGATCATTGAGTTCAGAAATTGAGAGTTTTAAACATGCACACAATAAGAATCACTACTACGTGCGCTGATCACTTTTTGCATTGAAGTGAAGGGGTTTGATGGGTTGGAAGCCTATAGCTGAGTTCAGGTCAATGAGTAACTGACATATTGTTGTATTAAGGCTTCACGCTGACCATAGAGAGTTTATTGTCTTTGCTGTCATGACATAATAGTAATACATATAAATACACATAATTTTTAGGAAGCATATGGTAAGTGGATATTCTGTATTTTACCTCAATAATACAATCCCGCATTATAGAGATTTCTTGTAGCATAAAAATCCATTCTGTGTTATTTGTTTTCTCAGATGTATTCAAGGTCTATTTGTAAAAACAAGGAAATTAGACTTGCACCTATCTTTATTGTTCTACTCATGAAGTTTGAAAAATACATATGTTTGTGCATTTTCAACCCTTGAAACTTCGGTTGTACAAATTCTAACTTCGATGTTGTCCACACCTTCATTATTCTGATCTATTATCCAGAACATGCAAGGACACATAATTAGGATTGACATTGTATGCTGTTGTGTTTGGACTTTAAAATTTAGGGTCATGTTTAGATACATTCATTTATAAAGATTCTAAACTTAGGTTTTTCCTATGGAGTTAAGAAATTTAATTGAGTGACAGGTTTGACTGTCAATTTTTGAGTAAATTCCTAACCTCTGGTGTATAATCTCAAAATTTTGCATTTATAAGAGCCATCAGGTTCACACGATTGTCTGTGAACCCTTATTGTATTCTAGTCAGATAAATGCATAACTGCTTGCACATTAGGATTCTGATGGATCCAAGTATCTCAAATCACTAGTCTATCCACTATTGTGTTCATCATTTCCTATGACCTTTAAGTGCAACATATAAATATGTTTTAAGGGCATAGCAATTTATCCTGAGTATAGTACTGACTGTTGTCTATAGTAGTGCTGACCCTTGCAATGGAGGTTCACTATCAGTATCTTTATAGCAGTTGCCATGCTAGTAACGCTGACATTTCAGTATTCTTTTCAATGGCCAAGTGATTCGACTTAAAGTTGGTTGTGAGGTTTTGAAATTGTGTAGATTAAGGATAATGACACATTCGGAGTTTGTGGAAAGAGCATAAGTGTACTGTAATAGTTTTCACCTAAACATATCCTTGACCTTTCTTTGGTTCTTCATTGTGTGTATTGGGTTAGTAATTAGAGTGTGCTTCTTTTCCCGCATTTAATATAGTGCAAGTGGCATCTTCCTATTTTCTGTTTAAAACAATAAACAATAGTGTGCACAGTTTATTGGAAACTAAAAGTAATGGCGGGATGATTTATCATCCTTTCTAGAGGTCTTATCTCAAAGCTTGAAGTTTTAATTAGAATCTAGTATTATTCTGATTGCTAACAAACATTGATCGTGTCTTCCCAGATATGTGGAGATATACATGGTCAGTTCTATGACATGAAGGGGTTATTCAAAGTGGGAGGTGATTGTCCAAAGACAAATTACTTGTTTCTAGGGGATTTTGTTGATAGAGGATTTTATTCTGTTGAAACATTTCTACTTCTGCTAGCTTTGAAGGTAAGACTCTTTTCGATTATGTTGCTAACAGCCTAACACATTGACCTGTTTATGTAATCTAGATTGCTATATTATCAAGTTTTAACATCATCGAAGTATTTTCTCATTCAAAAACTTCTTAATTGAAGTCATCTTCCATTGACTCAAATTTCTGAGCAGTACTTCCTGCCTAAAGTGTGCATTTCATTCATTTGTTGATTTTTGGACATTAATGTTCCGATCCTTTTTCTTTCTGTGATAGTTATTTCGTTTTTTCCCCCTCGCTTCGTTGTTTTGTTTTGGTAACTCAACCCATTCTTTTGTTTAGGTCAGGTACCCAGACTGTATAACTCTAATACGAGGAAATCACGAGAGCCGGCAAATCACACAGGTTGGTTGTTAGCACAACTTATCACGACTCTTCACACCCATCTAACTGACTTCCTTATAACATTCAGGTATATGGATTCTACGATGAGTGTCTGCGGAAATATGGCTCTGTCAGTGTATGGAGATATTGCACAGATATATTTGATTATTTAAGGTATTGTCCATCATTTTCATTTTTATGTCTTTTTTTTGGGCGTGTTTTCTCTCCGTCTGAAAAGTATATGTTTGTTATGTTGATGCCATAGTCTATCGGCACTCATCGAGAACAAGATTTTTAGTGTCCATGGAGGTCTATCCCCAGCCATCACATCATTAGATCAGGTTATTTGTGTTCCTTTTCTTCATGTTCTCACTCGTTTAATCCTTCCACTAAAAAGATGGGAATTTATGAATTTAACAGATTAGATCAATAGATCGGAAGCAAGAAGTGCCTCATGATGGACCCATGTGCGACTTACTATGGTCAGATCCCGAAGATGTGGTTGATGGCTGGGGGTTGAGTCCTAGAGGTGCGGGATATTTGTTTGGTGGGAGTGTGACTACCTCTTTCAACCACTCAAATAATATTGATTACATATGTCGTGCACATCAACTAGTAATGGAGGGATACAAATGGATGTTCAATAACCAGATTGTAACTGTCTGGTCGGCACCAAATTACTGTTACAGGTACTTGTCAAGTAGTTAACTTTGGTTACAATATCCTAAAATCTGTAGGTTGCTCATAAAAAAATTGACTCGTTTGAGTAGATATGCTAATTGACAGCTGGTTGAAGTCAAGAGTCATGTTCTCATCTGATACGATAGTAACTATAGCATGTTCTATCTGTATCATATAGTTGCACCAGTGCATCAGGTGTATTTGGTGCATTGTATATAAGACACTTCACTTTTACTTGATATAGACCAAAGCCATTCATGCTACGCAGAAAGCTTTCTATTTTTTACCGGAGAGCATGAATTTAAAATATAACATGCTCCTCTTGATACAGTGTTATGTTTTCATCAATGAGCATTAAACGCAGAACTAAGCAATTCTAGGTAGTTCCCATTATTTCCCCCCTAGAGAAGACTTGTATCTCATTTTGTGTTACCTACAGAGATTGCTTTTAACTTTAACAATTCGAACTTTAACCTGCGAATGAGAAAGAAACAGGCACACGTCATTCTCTGGTTGTACATCCACTTTCTATTTACATGTGCAGAATTCCACATACTTTTATTCACATAAAGAAAACAACATTTTTCGTGAGTCTACTCAGTCTAGTATCCCCTACATGGATTATATCTTTAAAAAGTAAAGTTATTTGAATTGTCTGAAGCAACAATATTTCAATTAAGTAACAAAACTATAAAAAAAATGTAGGAGGCTTGGGTTTCGGTACCCTGAGTTTAAACAGCCTAACAAATTTGAATTGTCCAAACAATGGATTCGCATGGACTGTGGATTGACCAGAACTAGTGGGGGATGTCTAATCACCAATAGTAATTTATATGGGAGTTACCAATATGGCAACAACAAGCAATACAAATCCACTTAATATTCTCAATTTGATCTTTTGGATGATTTTTCTCTTCCTATTATGCCAGATGCGGCAATGTGGCTGCTATCCTCGAGCTGGACGAAAACCTGAACAAGCAATTTCGTGTTTTTGAAGCGGTCCCACATGTCTGTATCCATCTTTTAGTTATTAATCTCTCTTTCCTTGCAATGATAACTCAACTGTTAAAGATGTTAAGTTTTTGCAGGAATCAAGAGGGGTTCCTTCCAAAAGACCAACCCCTGATTACTTCCTTTAATTAAATCACGGGTTTTGATCATCCTTCTTTATATGAACTTTGAGTCGCAAGCTCGTCAGACTCAAACTACGACTAGTCCAGAGGTTCTTTCAGTATATGGGTTGGATTTGGATTGATTGGTTTGTTTTCTATTTTGCCATAAGGAGGATGCTGCTCGGACTTCAGCAGAGAGATCAAACAAGGTGCTGAGGCTTCGAAGTAGGAGAGATAAAGTGGAAATATATTGAATTCGTGATATACTGTTAGTTTTTCTTGTGAAATTTGAGTTAGGTTTGTAGCCAATGCCATCAGTTTGTATATTCTCTCTCTCTCTCTCTCTCTCTCTCTCTCTCTCTCTCTCTCTCTC